AGTGTTTATGAACAGAAAATACAACAATTAATCACGAGGTTTCATGGAGTTGAGAAGCTTACGAGTGAGGGGGAATGGCATGGTACACTCGTATGCTTCTCTACCAAAAAGGACACAATGCAAGTATTCGAGTACAAAACGAAAAAGACATTACCTATGAGTTTGAACAACTTTAGGCTCGGTAAATCTATTTTTAATACGCTTGTCTTTGATCCCGGTAAAAATGAATGTGTGTTGAAAGATGAAAATAAACCTATAGATATTAAAATCATGTCTAATTTCGTTTGTAATAAGAATGAAAACCGAGATGAAATATTTGAAACTATTTATGATAATTTGACATATCATGATATGTTAGCGTATAAACTCGTATTTAAATATATTAGGAGTCTTTATCTTCTTTTATTTGATGAAATGAATATCCTTGCAATTTTATTTCGATTTATCATCATATGGAGTGTTACGACCTCCTTTGTGTTTGCTAATATTTTACTTGAGTTGATGCAGAAAAATAAAATTTTAAAATCAATAGAAGCTACATGGAAGGAGATGGAATGCTTGAAGACATCCCAATACAACAATGAATACATTCAATCTTCAAGATTAGTTTTTCGATAATTCTCCAAACTAAGGGGGAATGTTAGAATGGATTAATAATCAAGAACCTAAATATTGGGCTTATACATCATGGACGATGATAACTTGCTGTTCAAGGAGAAGACCAACAATGACGTGAACCTTGAGGAGAAGTCAAAGCATTGGAATGGAGAAGAGGCTTATTTCCAAGCATCATATGACCGTTTGAGGAGCAATCTCAATCACATATATTAACAGATTTGATTTAAATCAAATCTGATGGTGTATATCGGAGATATGAAAATCACGGGAGAGAATTTTGAGTCTTCCTTATTTGAATCTCCTATATGCCACCTCACATTCACAGTTAGCGTCTTCATTTCATTTTGTATAAATTCTCATGTATGTGTATTGATTTAGATAAGACAATCTAAAGGGACATTGTCCCATATTTCTTAGTTTCTTCATCTTCAACGTGTCACTCTTCTTTTCCACTATTTTTCACATTCTCATCACTTCCAAATACATAAATTTTTGAATCTCCTATATGCCACCTCACATTCACAGTTAGCGTCTTCATTTCATTTTGTATAAATTCTCATGTATGTGTATTGATTTAGATAAGACAATCTAAAGGGACATTGTCCCATATTTCTTAGTTTCTTCATCTTCAACGTGTCACTCTTCTTTTCCACTATTTTTCACATTCTCATCACTTCCAAATACATAAATTCCACAACATAGACTCTCCGTGCACCGTCATAAACACCGTCATCCCATTCACTCCCTCCATTACCACCTTCAGCTCCCAACTTCCTCGACATCGTAGCCATTTCTCTCTCTTCCTAGCGACATGAAACAAGACACAAACTATGTCAGAATGTTTCATAGCTCCAGTTTACATTCAACCTGACAGTTCCATTGTCGAGGAATTTGGATCGTCTAGGAATCTCGATGTAACAGGGAATGAATATGAAAATGTGTCAATATGATTATTATTTTTTTTGCAATTATGAAAAATAGATAATTATTTAATAGTGCACGTGTTGGGGTAAAGTCATAGTAGTTCCAAAAAAAATCATCACGGCTACGCAAGGATCCAAAGAGAAAATGAAATAATGAGTAAATAGAGTCACATATACGACATATATACATACATACATACATACATATATATATATTGATTCTTCATAACGTATTCAAGAAACAAAAAAAAAAGGAAGAAGAAGAGATTGAGTGTGAGACTAACTCTAGGTTTGTGATTTTACTTGATAAGAAAGTGAGGAAGAAAGGTGGTATTTATAGACTCTCTTCGTGTGAAGAGTGTTTTTTATTTTCGCCCCCATTTTCCTCATTGCTTCCATGCAATATTCATTTTAAACCCAGAGACATGTGTAGTTGGATATGTATGTTTAAAAGAGTTGACTCAATTATCTATATTAATATTATGATTTATTTATTTTATGTCAAATTTTATCGATCTATATAAATAATATAATCGTTTTCATACAAATTTTTTTTTAAAATCAGGGTAAAATCTTTAAAAATTTCTGAATTTGTAAAATAATAGAAAATAAAATATTAAACTTTTCGTTTAACAAATTTATTCTCAAACTTATAAAATATATCATTATAATTTCTAAATTTGTGAATTAGTGTTATCAGAAATCTTGATGAGATTGATTACAAAATCAGTTTGACAATTATAATTACACATTTTACAAGTTTGAAAATTATAATGATAAGTTTGAGAATAAATTTATTAAGCGAAAGATTTAAAATTTTATTTTCTATCATTTTACAAATTCAATAATTTTTATAAGCAATATATAATATATATGATTTTAAAAAAATTTAAAAGAGAAGATGTTTTAATTTTTTTTTATATCAAAACATCACAAGTCGTAGCCCAAACGCAAAAGAAAAATTGCGTTTTGATTCTCTAAATTTTGTTGTTATTACGAACCATTGCGATTAAAACGCTGCGTTTGCGATTGAGTGCATCATTGTAGAAAAATGAGTCTTAAATGATTCTAGAAATTCTTAGAACTTTTATTATGGACCCAAATCTAACACCAAACTCTATTAAATTAATACTAAGAAAATCACAAACCTTAATCATTAAATGATATCTTTAATCTCGTATCGTGAACTCATCGTGCATCACGTGGTTACACATCTATTGATTGTAATTGTACGATGATATAGATAAATTTATTATGGATAAAAAAAATATTAATTTGATTTTACTAAAACCAAAATATAATAAAGTTCAGTTTTATTTAATTTTATATATAGTAATTTATACGAAAATAATTTTAATGAATATAGTGAACGCGTAATCCAACCTTACTAGCCTAATAATTCCAATTATGTATTTATTGAGTTTTTTTATTTTATTTTTATTAGTTTTATTATTTATTTACAAATTTACGTATCATGTCGACCAAACTCTTTCGTCCTGTTGGGTAAATGGATCGCTTCAACCAACTCTATTGTTCTGTTCGGTGAATGGATTGTATTAAACGACACGTGTTTCACGAGGAAATATTTACATACCATGTATTTCACAAGACTCGTGTATATAAATGTCATTCAAGGTTTTCCATAAAAGCCCATTGGGCCTTTCACTTGAACCTTTGGGCCCATTGACCTTTCTGCCCAACATTGGTCCATTGGGCCTTTCAACCCAACTTGTTTCTAATCGATCGATCGGGAATAACTCTCTCTCTTAAACCGTACAAAAACATAAATCGTACAAAATATCATACTCTATTACTCAGACTAATCAATCCGAGATTTAACAACCATAAACCGACTAATAACCAGACTAATCTGACCTAAACCGGTGTTATACAACCCTAAACCCTGTTGCACCGAACTCTTCTGCTCTAAACCGGTCCAATTGGACTCTAAACCAGACCAAACCGGTCCTAATTTATCTACACCAAACCATAATTGTCTTAAACTAGTTCGGTTTTATCCTAAACCGAACAAACTTTGACCAAATTGGTCAAAGTCAATTTAAATAAGTCCAAACCGATCAAAATTGAATTGGAGCTGGTCTGAACCGACTCGGATTGAATCAAATGGATTTAATCTGAACCGGGTTAGACGAAAGAACTAACTCGAATTAAATCGGAATATCCAGTTTAACCTAAACCGTAATTTTCAGAAACCCCAACCGTAGATTTAACTGTCAACTCGGTTGTTGCTCAATCGAATCCCCGACTCGCCCGAGTTACGACCTCATCTGACGAGGACATCATCGGAACCCACCACCGCCTAGTGTACCGTATAAGAACGTGGACATCATCCCTTCAAATTTCTCCCGATCTGACTCTGATCCCGTCCGAGGATTTCATCGAGACCGCTTCGAACACCGCCTCCTAGAAAATCAGCTGAAACAAAACGAAGACAAAAATAAGAAAGACATCAGACCACAAATCTGGGAGGAAGACATACCTCGCCATCGTCGGAACTGGACGAGAAATGGAAGAACGAGGCGCAACTTTTTACGTATTTAGGTTCCAAGGATCCACTAAAGACAGTGGTACACAATGCTCATAATACGAAGATTTATCAACACACGCACAACAAGAAAGAACAGCAAACCGAAACTTCCATGTCTCGACGTATATCCGCCGTTTCTCCTCCCTGCAGCTCTCTCTCCTATCTGCGTATGTGGTCGTCTCCTCCTTGGATTTGATAAAAAACACGAGAGCCTTCACCTTTCAAGCGGAACCCTAATCCGAAAACGCCTTCGTATTGTTTGATGGCCTGGTTAGCCTGTACCGAAACACAATGGACACAGAAAACCAACCAAATCATCTGGTTCTTCCCTAACCGAACCGAAACGAGAAGCCTCGTGCCAGCAGAGACAAAGTCTTCACTCCTACACCATCTATCCCAACAAAAACATATTCGTTTGGGATTTCGATTTGATTTTGTTTTGGTTATATTCGGATTCAATTTTTTTAAAAATATAATATTATTATAATAAATTTGGTTCGGTTCTATTTCGTTTGGATTCATTCTAGTTTTTTATTGATAAAAATAATTATTTTAAAAAATCAGTTTTTTGTTTTTTTAATCAATTTATTTTTTGTTTTTTAGATTTTAAATAAATGATAACCATTGGTTCGATTACATTCCAATCGATTAAGTCGTTTGACATTTTTTTCCCTATGAGAAGTAAAAGAAAACAGTCGAACTACTGAGTTTCTTCCAGGTGTCATTTTCACAGTCTGCAAAGGCGAGTGACATTGTTTTTGTACTCGCAGCACGTGATTCCGTACCAATATCGTACGGCTACTCTGATACAGTTATAACATACGCATATAAAGACAGAAAGGCGTCTGCTTCATACTCGCCTTCTCCGACTTCTTGTTTTCTGTATTCTGCGCAATTTTTGTACTCCAGAGAGAGGGAGAAAGAAACCTTAACACGGAAGAACAATGGCGGTCGCGAATCAAGAAACGGCGCCGTTTAGGAGCCGTCAACACTCCGTGAAGAAAGCGTCGGTATACGTCGGCGATCTTCGTCCCGACGTGACGGAGGAAGATCTCATCGTCAAATTCTCCTCCAGGGTTCCCATCGTCTCCGCCCACCTCTGCCGTTGCTCCGCCACCGGAAAATCCCTCTGTTACGGCTACGTCAACTTCAATTCCTGCTTCATTGGTAAAAAAAAAAACCCAAAAAGATTCTTCCTTTCTCGTCTTTTCCTCGTTCTTTGCTCGATTTCTGGTGTTCAGAACTTTGGTCCGAGAATCTATTTTCTGGGTCATCTTTTTTGGTCGACCTTTCTTGTGTTAATGACGTAAAAGGGTTTCTGTTTCTTGCAGCATCAAATGCTCTGGCTTGCTTAAACCACACTGATATGATGGGAAAGCCAATGAGGTTGATGTGGTTTGAGAAGGATCAGACGCTGCGTCGAAGTGGAATCGGGAATCTTTTCGTTAAAAATCTCGCCAGCTCGATCACCAGCAGTTGCTTAGAACGTATTTTTAGCCCCTTTGGGAGTATACTCTCTTGCAAAGTGGCTGAGGAAAACAGGCAGAGTCGAGGTTTCGGCTTCGTCCAGTTCGATTCAGAACAATCTGCTACTTCTGCTCGTTGCGCCCTCCACAGATCTGTCATCGATGGGAAGAAACTGTAAGTTCACAATGTAAATTTTCGATCTTTTCGGTAAAGTGACAAGCTTGTTTCTATGTTTTCGTTTGATGTGATTCTTCCTTAGGTATGTATCTAAGTTCGTGAAGAAGACGGAAAGAGCTGTTGCGTTGGGAAAACATGATTTCACAAACCTTTATGTGAAGAATCTGTCAGAAGGTGTGACAGAGGATTTTCTGCTAAAGACGTTTTCCCCATATGGGAGAGTTTCCAGTGCCGTGGTCATGAGGGACGACACGGGAAAATCGAGAGGGTTCGGGTTTGTGAGTTTCTCCGAGGCGGAAAATGCTAGGAAAGCGGCAGAGGCATTGAATGGAGCAGTTCTCGGTAAGAATTTCGTTGTTTTGAACAAGAAGATCGTCATCAAAAATTTCTGACTCGGGGAACGATTTCTTCCTCGTTAGGATCCAAGAAGTTGTTTGTCGGAAGGGCTCAGACCAAAGCCGAAAGGTTGGAGATCCTGAAACATGAACTCGAGGAGAAGTTTATTTCCGGGTTCAAGAACTCAAAGTGGTTGAATCTGTACGTGAAAAATCTGAGCGAATCGATAGACGAAACGAGGCTACGAGAAATTTTTGGATGGTATGGACGAGTAATCTCTACTAAAGTAATGCGTCACGAGAATGGCGTAAGTAAGGGATTCGGTTTTGTATGTCTCTCTAACCGTGAAGAATCCAAGAAGGCTAAGAGAGAGCTCAACGGTATAAAATCAGAGATTCCCTTCCTTAATTTTCTTTTTTGGGATGAAACCCGAGATTCTTACTGATTGAATCTGAACGTATCTGTTCACAGGAACTTTCGTTGACGGGAAATCATTAGTTGTCCGAGTAGTAGAGCGGAAAGAGGATCGGCTGAAGAGGTTGCAGCGTTACTTCACTGAACCATCGGGCCAAGTCCCGGTCGGTTACATTTCCGGGTGGCATTTTCCACATGTTCCTGTCCGTTTTCCCGGGCAATGCACGTATATTCAGCCGTTCCATATCGGGCAAACCTCTTTCTACATGGGGGGTTCTCAGTCATTCACCTCATACGTAAGCATTAGTTTTCAGCTCTAATGTTTCAGGGTTTGCATCATTCATTTTCTCACGTTTCCTTTGGAAAACCTCTTAGCTTCCTGTCGGACAGCAGAAGCAGAATGGAAATCCGCAGGACAAGGTGAAGAAAAGGATGTTCTGTAATAATATCACTGTAACATGTGCTGAATTATGTCATCTTCTAAGATTTGTTGCCATTTTTTTTTCCATTTTTTGTTTTCTCTGCAGCCTTCTGCTAGCTCTGGAACGAAAACCGGACAGAAACATGGGCTTAGTGGTGAAGAAAACAGAAGTGGAAATGCAGAAACATCGCTAGAAGAAGCAACATCGGTCTTGAAAGCGGCTTTGATGAAGTCTCCTTGTTCTCGTGGCAGTGACAGCTGAAAAGCTCTAAACCCTAAGTAACCGAAGAAACCGATTTTTTCGTTTTCCACAAGACACTTGATATGCGTAGTTATTACAGAAAAAGACAGTGCATTTTGCCATTCCGACCATTTTTTTGTAAGAATGTTTGTTCAAGAAACTTCCTTCTGTGTAACTTTCAAGATGCTGTCCATTAGTATTCTTATTGCACGAAAGCAAAGGGCCAGAAATCATCGATCCGAATCACGGAAAAATAAAACGTATGCATTAGGCGATGAGACCGATGCCTTGGGTGATCAAAGCATCAGCAAGAACTTGATTAGCAGCTTGAGAGGGATGAGCACTGTCCCAAAACACATACTCAGAGGCATTCGAACATGCCCCGAAGGATTTCGGGTTGCACAAAAGAGAAGTAGTCTCGACTTTTCCAGTTCCGCAGCACCCTTTCGTTGCTTCTATAAACCCTGCAAAAGCAAATTAAAATGTTAAGCCTGTCTTTTGGGTTAGACATGAATCAGATATCCGTGGTTTTAGAGGTTATATGCGCATTCCATCGGTGGATGAGTACCTGACTCACGGATCAGGTTGAGTACCCAATTTACCTGCCTATCACAAAACAAAACTACTAGTAGAGTGACCAGAACTTACCATATTTGGAAGGGGACTGAACGAGGTCATAGAGTGGCTTTAAGATGTCGAAAACGATGATCTTAAGGCCCGAGTATCGCTTCTTCAGCTTTGAAGCCTCCGAGTTAAGCTTCTCGTTGAATTGTTTAGCGTCAGAGTTTAATCTCTCAACACAACCTTTCTCATGAAACCCAAAAAGGGTTCTTGCCAAAGGAAGACAGCCTAACGGTGCCAGAGAAGTCACACCGATCTTCCTCACTCCGAGGCCGTACACTTCCTATGCACACATTCCGTTCGGACACCGATATTTCTTGAGTCATATCATAAGCAATATGTTACGTATGGAAATGGAGAATTCAAGAACATAGAAAGGAATGTACCTTGACAAAGCTTGAGAAATTTTCAATGAGGTAGGAACCGTACTGGTCGGGGGTATAGACTTTGTGGAGCAAAGGGTTAACGTAGTAGTTCTGGAGAAAATCGCTGCTCCCTGCGCTCAAAAGGCAGATTGCTCCTTGAATTACAGATTCAGATTTGTTTTTCCCGGCGATTTTCGTGAGCTTGATCTTATATTCCTTGAAATACTCGATCTGCTGATATAACGGGATCGCGTGCTGCGGAAAAGGAAACGATCAAGGGCATCAGATTCATGAAACAGAAAAACGAAACTCCAGACCATTTCTCTCTCACATTGATGACTGCAGCTTTCGGGTCGTAACCAGAACCGGCAGAAGCGAAATTTGATCCAATGAGAAGGTTACTGCCTGAAGCCTTAGAGCTAAGATACGCAGGTGGGTAAGTAGTGAACCCTAATGTCTCAGCTGCAACAAGAAACACACGACAAAAGAGTGACTACTGTTACGTAAACAGCAAGAAACACGGTTTGATCGTTATTTGGGCTAGTTTAAATTTAAATATAAATAAATAAATACACAAGTTTGGCTGTAAAGGTAAATCCATAATTACCCAAATTTAATTTCACGGACCAAAACAGTTGAAATTTTAATGTGTGTAACAAACATATTAAAGTGTATATATAACAAAGTTTTTTTTGGCTCATCCATTCAGACAAAACACGAAAACCATAAAACCACATCACCAAAGATGGATCAAACCCTAAAAGATCTCGGAACATCACTTGTCTTGTTCTTGTTCTTTTCTTTGGTCATTTTGAGTTCATCTTCTGCCCAAGACCAACCTACAACTGTTGTTCCAGCGATCATAACATTCGGCGACTCGGTTGTCGATGTGGGCAACAACAACTATCTTCCGACCGTCTTCAAGGCTGATTATCCGCCTTACGGCCGAGATTTCATCAACCAAGAGGCCACTGGACGGTTTTGCAATGGCAAATTAGCTACAGACATCACTGGTATAGTTTGAATCTGTGATTCTGGGCTTTAAAAGTGAGAAAGATGGGAGGTTGTGAGATTGAGACCATTAAATGAGCGTGGTTGACTTCGATTTTGGAGCCATTGGTTATATTAAATTATATATTTAAATCGATTACTATAAGTCTGCAACGAATCTATATATTTAATATATTTTATATATATTTAGTATATTTTTCTTGTGATTACCTATATATTTTCTGTTTTATTTACTATATTTTATGTTATATATATATTATTAAAATGATTGGTTTAGTACCATAGATATTGATGATGTTAAATGAAGTCTAGACATATATATTAATTTAAATTTTCCTTTTTTAAATTATCTCCAAAGCCGTAACAATATTGTGTTGTGTCCAAAGACTCCAAACAATAAACAAATAATAGATTAGCTTTTACTGCGTTAGTTGTGGAGATGAAATATGAGCTGGAGATTTATGTGGATATTTTGTCAACGGTTATTTTATGTTTAATGTGTTTCAATCGGCCAAATTCGTTAATGATTCCATGTTTTTATAAATAAATGATATTTTCCAATAATTTTGGATCTTAATAGAAAAGTTTTTTAAAAAAAAATGGATTTGGTTTGATGAATACACTTAAATTGAAGTAACTAATTCATGTAATTAATTCCCGCTCAGATTAGATATAGTTGGATTGAATATCCGTTGAACCACCTTATTAAAAAAACTAATTCATGTATATTACAACTTATACCCAAAAGTATGAATTAAAATTTTTTCGAAACTTGAAAATAACCTAAGATCGAAATTATTTTTTATTATATTTGTTTTAATTCGTTACTTGTAAACTATAGGAACCGAATTAAACCCAAAAAAAAGTTGAATGTTTCTATACGGTTCAGAAACATTAAATTTGTGGTGGTTTTGGGTACAAGCAGCCCTTTTCATATTCCTAAGTGGCTCTAGGACTTAGCCCAATTAGAATTCCAATTCTACTAATTACAATAAATTCATGCAAAACAATAATTTCACTTTATGGGTTTTACAATAACATGCCGACTAAGCATGTTTAATATCATATGAATCTGATACAATAACAATTTTAAACTCTGCAGAAGCTTACAAATAGAAGAACATACACATATATACACGCACATATATATATATTACCATAGGTATATACTCCCTCACTAGAAAATCTTCTTCACAGTTCTGAATCCTTTCTCGTCGGATATTATTTATAGACATATATAACTTACTAGCACTAATCCAACTTAGGTAACTCAACCGATGAAATGGAGATGCAAAAACGTCTGTCCCGTCGCGAGTTCGAGTTTCAAATTGGGGAGAGGAGTGTATATTCCAAGCATATGGTTAATTTGCTCTCGATCCCGGGATTAGTTTGGACTTCGATTCAAGATAACCGAAACTCAAAAAAAACTTACACTACAAAAAAATCTTCATATAGCTACGGAATTTGCGACGGAACTTTTCCGTCGCAAACAAATTATCGACGGTTTTGCTACGGAATCCGAAAATTTTTATTCCGTCGCAAGCAGTCGCAAAATCCATCGCAAATTTGCGACGGACTGCGACGTAAACGTTGTCGTCGCAACAACAAACATTATTTGCGACATAAATTTTAATATCTGCCAGAATTTGCGACGGATTGCGACGGAAATTTCCGTCGTATACAGAAATTTCTGTCGCAAATCCTAATTTCATTTTTTTCGTTATTTTCGATAAAAAATTTTAAATTTTCGCGGTTTATTTTTCGTTTTGCGACAGAAATTTCCGTCGCAACACTTAATAAAAGCCGCTCGAAATTTTAAGAAAAAAATCTCAATCTTCTCCAATATTCTCCAACAAATTGTTTTTCTTTAAAATTCGTCAAGGTTATATATCGTGTATATGGATATGTATATGTGTATATATGTGAATGTATGTGTATATGTGTGTGTTGTATATATACATGTGAATGTACATATGTGTATGTGTATGTGTAAGTGTGTATGTGTGTATGTGAATGTGTATGTGTTTATATATGTATACGTGTGTGTGTGTGTGTTTATGTATGTATGTTGTGTATGTATGTGAATGTGAATGTGAATATGTATGTATATATATAAATGTGTATGTGTTTTTATTTGATGTGTATGTGAATATATATATATGTGTATGTGTATATGTGTGAATATGTATAAATGTGTGTTTATATATGTGTATAATGTATATGTATATGTGTATATATATGTATGTTTATGTATGTCTATGTAAATTTATATGTGTATATATGTGTATGAATGTGTGTTTATGTATGTGTGTATGTGTGTATATATATATGTGTATGTAAATGTATATGTATATGTGTATGAATATATGTGTATGTGTATATATATATTTATATAAATTATGTGTATATGTATAATGTATGCGTATATGTGTAATGCATGTGTATGTGAATATATGTATATGTGTGTATATGTATAATATATTATTTTTTATATTTTTTTAAATTAAAAAAATATTTGCGATGGATTTTTCTATCGTAAATTTTTTTTTTAAAAAAAAAAAAATTAAAAAAATTATTGACGACGGATTTTTCTATCGTAAATTTTTTTTTATTTTTTTAAAAAAAATTAAAAAAATTATTGACGACGGATTTTTCTATCGTAAATCCCTCGCAAAATGCAGATTTTGTCCGTCGCAACTTTGCGACATATTAATGACCGGCAAACTTTTACGACAACGATATACGGACGAAAATTATTCCGTCGTTTTCTATCGCAAATTTGTAATTGCGACGGATTTTATTGATGTTTGCGACGGATTTTTCCGTCGCCAATTCGGATGTTTCTTATAGTGTTACTAGCACTCGAATCGTTTGTCACAAAAAACACAACGAGATAAGTTTCTACAAACACTAACAAGAAATGTACATTCTAAACACGGACCTAGAAATTGTTGTAAATGGGGGCAAACTTACTATATAATAAACATAATTTTATCATGGAGGCATATGCCCCCATTCTTATTAACCTAGTTCCGCCCATGTCTAAATACAACTCCGAATCTTTCAAATAATCACGTTACAAAATTAGATTTTACAAGCGATCCATACCTAAGTTATTATGTTATTTATATATATATATATGTATATACATATATTTTTGGTTGGAGTACAAATTACAACAAATATGTTATTGATCACGCCCTTGATATATATTCTTGGACCGAAAGAACCACAAGCTTGAACTGAAAAACAATCGTTAGAGAATGACACCGTATCCGAATGTGTCGCCTTGACAATTAAGGGATCTATGAGTGAGCATGTAATGTAACACATGCATAAGACCTTAACAAATGTTCAGTCTTATTACAATGTCCCATGTGAGAAACGTTTCATAAATTCGCTAGTTTTAACTTAGTGTAAACTCACGCAGCATTCGATGTATAAAGTCATAACGTATCGACGAGTCACTTCATTGAACAGAAGTTGTTCTTGAGAAACTAATAAAGCGATCCACAAAAGGTTCTTTGATGACAAATATACATATATATTGATTATCAAATATATATGTATATATATATAGCCAGCCAATAAGAAGTCGCCAAATCCACCTATTTTTTATGACCATAATAAAGAAAAAAGATACTATTGGATTCCATAAAACACTATTATTTACGTTAGTGGGGGATCGATGAATGACTTTCCCATTGCCGCTTTTACGTGAATGCACGAGTGAGAAGAAAATCACTTTATCACGATATAATACATTAGCTCGACTTTTGAATATATATATATATATGTGTGTGTGTGTGTGAAAAAGATATTTTACATTATATTTCAAATTATTTATTAAATATATATGACCAAAATTGTTAGGCATCATCTGCTTGAGGGTCTCCTCCTACACTTAGATAAAGTGCGAGTCCGTAGATCTTTCCACTACATGTTTCTGTTTAATTAAGAACTAAATATTTATGATATACATACGTGGCCGGAGACGATGAATTCAAAAAATTTATATAGTTTCGCGATTTTGAAAAAACATATATCTAGAATACGTGTCTTTGTTACTATTATTTCAATTTGATGTAATATCGAGATTGGATATAACGGTAGTCCAAGGATTTTTATTTCCTTGTTCTATGAGATAGAGGATTAAGTTCTTGACAAAAGGCCAGAAATAGTATATTAAAGATAATACAAAACAAAATATCTTTTGACCTATCTAAGTTTGGGTGATTTAGTGGTAAAATAACATATAAAATATGTTCTTATCCCATGTTCAAATCCAAACGTAGGTAGAGGCATTCATCTGTATTTCTCCAATCCTTTGGAAGATGTAGTTAGATCGAAAATCCGGTGAACTTCTAGATTATAAAAAAATAAATTATCGACCTAGAAGAAGGATAACTATACTAAAAGTATTCTGCTTCATATCATTGTTCATTAGAAACAAAAAAAATGCAAACCCTTTTTGGCAACATCAAATTATTTTCCAAAAAATATATGAAACAACGAAAAATATAACTCAAAAATTAAGTATAAGTATCTAGATAATACCAAATGGATAATACATATATCGTCCATGTACTAACGAGTTGGATTTTTGTTCTAATGCTGAAGAATATAGTCAAATTTCATCCAATATTAGATGGTTCAAAGGGACATAACTCTTTCTCAACTCATGTTCGAATCTTCATTTGGTGGGAGATATTCACATGAGTTTTTCTATCCTCCAAAAGATGTAGTTGAGCCGAAAGCACGGTAAATTTCTAAATTATCAATATATATAGATAGATATAGTTATTCTGAATATTCTCATATAACCAAAATTGTTGGATACATACGGTGCTATTATGTTGAATATGTATCAGCTTTTAACGTAGTTATAATAAGCTCGAGAATAGCTCATTACATATACTTACATGATTTGACTTTTTTTTTAAAAAAAAATATATATATATATATATATATATATTATGACCTTAACATGATGATATGTATCCCTCAAACTAGGAATGTTACGACATTGATCGGTCCAATTGCGAGAGTGCGTGAAGCAAAGTATCTAATATATATTGAAAAAAAACAAAAACAAAATTAAACGTTGAAGAAAAAAATTCAAATTGGTTAATATCACTTTCTCCATATGCTATTTCAGTCATTGTCTGATGTTCCGAGTAACCCTAATGATAATTGGACATATTATCATCAATTTTTTTTGTATAAAAATAAAAATATATATGTGTACACAAATATATTATACCACCTTTTATATTTCCTTCAGGATTTGAGGATGAATGGAGTTAAGAGTCTTTAATAAAAGAAAAGATTATATACAAAAAGAATAACGCCATCACCAAAACATATTGTGTTGTATACTTCCACTTTGGTACTCTTATGTACGTGGAAATTCCACGTTGTCTCTATATTAAGTCTCGCATGAAAATTATTATGATAATCAAGAAAGGCAATTCACTGCACATGACCACACGACAACAGGGACAACCTTATCCAATACTGACACACTAAATCATATGAAGTAATTAATGATCCAGATTAAGCTACATATGATAATGTAATGACAGCTTAAAGGGTACTCTTAACACCAAAAAGTTACCAGAGAATATCCAAATGATTCTGCCTTTGATCATGAACCTCGAATAAACAATTTCCAATCACTTTTGTTTTTGAAATAATGATACAATCGCTTTTTCCAACCCCGAGATTAAACCCTAAATTTAGGAAAGAGCATTCATCCGAGTTTTTTCCGAGATTAGTGTGGATCTTAGTTCAGAATACCGAGTTACAAAAAAAAGAAACAAATTGAATCTATCACTTTGTAAAGAGGATATAGAATGAACGTCACCATGGAAAGATCTAAGTTGCTCCAACATCTTAATTATTTATTCATATAAAACTAACAAAAACTAATATTAATTATACGTGAATAAATGAATAAAATCGAGCTATTAATACTCTTTATTCCTATCATGCATAATGAATATATATCCCCATAATAAAATTTTCTAGATTCCGAATCATAACGTTAATAGCGTTTAGCTTTTACATGCCAACTAAGGAAAGAATATTTTGGAGCTTGCTCTTCATTCTTACTTTAGAAATTAAATTAGTGAAATAAATTAATGGTTTCTGAAAAGTTTATTTTATTCACTCCAAAGCTTTTTGTTTTATAATGGATAGTGGTAAGAGGACTTGTTGTTATTTAGGGTTTTGCTATGACTATGGTTTCACAGTTGTGAAGCACAAAGAGACATTTTCATATTTTCCATTTGAATTAATGGCAATATCATATAGAAAGAAAATTAAAGCAAAGAGTTGAAAAAAAGAAAAATAAAAAGTACTTTTTTTTTCCTTTTTTGCTTTTGTGAAAAGAGGCCACAGCTTGCAAAGTTAAACCTTAATTACGGACTTTCCTTCCTTTAACAAAACAATGCCAACATGTAATTTCTAAAGGTTTGAGAGTGGGGTTGATATTTCGGCTATTTTCTACTAAATTTCGAATCATACATAATTCTAATATTATAACCGAATTCGATATAAGAATCAATTAGAAAATTAATTGAATTTAAATGAAATATAAAAATAACGAAAAATTGAATAAAAACGAAAATTTCTTTAAAAAAAATGGATATATCATATATGTGTAATGAAAATTTTACCCGAACCGAAAATAAACACAATGCAAAAAAAAAAAGAAATCCATACAAAAAAAGGTGAATGGATAAATTCTTACAAAGTAAAAAAAAATGTAAACTAAAAAATAATGGAATCGAAATATTATTGGGAAACACTAATATTCTTCAACTCTTAGGTGTGAGTCTTATTACCAATTAGAAATTATTTGTGGAAGAAAACAAAATACATATGAAGCAGCATCAATATCTTTATATTAATCTAACTGTAAAATTAATATTTATAAAAGTTTGTGAGTACCTTTAGAGACACAAAAACAAAGAAATAAGTACTTATACGTCTATGTATGTATATATATATATGTATGTATACATATATATATATAAACCTGTCATTTACATCATCAGCATAACTTAGATTATTTGATTTCCACTCAAATTGTTATGAGAAAATATAATATACTATATATATATATATATATATATATATATATATATATATAGTTATGAGATTACTTGATCGGACCGGAAAAAAAAAGGTCATAAGATGACCCTGTGGACTTATGTTGGCAATTAATTTATATCACAAGATAATATTCATATTTACAAAATATTATATCAGACAAAAAACGAATCAGCAAAAATAAAAATAAAAAGCTTAAAAACCATTAAATAAAAGCCCATAAAATATTATTACACGTACCCTCGGAAGACGAATTGGTATCTTTATTCATGATAATCCAATTTTTATCAAGAAATTACAAAACCGAAAAAAAAAACTTATCATTGTACCTTCAGATTTCGTCAGAGAATGAAAAATCGAATCTTTAGGGGGAAAATATACATATAAATATGTAGAGAACACTGTGAATTTAGTTGAACTCAATCATCTTCTGTTGCTTCAAGTTCTTGTAAAACTTCTTTATAAACTCATCCGCTGCTTTGTCAACGTGTCCGTTTCCCACGTCAGCTTCTTCCGGTAACGGAAACGGTGAGTCCGTCACCCTTAACGGCCTAACTAACGGAGTCCGTCCAAACCCCGGCAAGTACGGAGATAACGCCGTTAACGCCTCTACGTTGGTGCCGCTGTTACCACCGTTGACAAGCTCGAACACCGCTCTCGCGGCAGCGTTTTCGTCGTCGAGCGTTTCCGGTGTTTGGACGCACGCGAAGAGGCTCTTCTTCGACTTGGAAGCGATGTGGAAAGGGAAGGTGAAGTTTGGCGTGTTGCTGCAGCTGAACTCGTACTCGTGCGGCTGCGTCTGGAGCGCAGCTGAAACCGCGTTCGCGTCTGCGGCCGGGACGCGGCGGCGGCTGTGGAACATGAGGTTCTTGCCGCGTTTGAGCATCACGTTCAGGTCGACGACGAGCTTGTGCTTCGACACTCCTTTTTTTAACATGAAGATGACAAAACGTATCATGTTCCAAATTTTCTTGCTTACTGTTTGGCTCTTGTCCATCTTTAGAGAGAGAGAGTGCAGAGGGAAATATCAGAGAATGGTGAGAGAGAGAGAGTGAAGAGAGAGAGAGAGAGAGATTTGTGTTATGTGCTCTGATTTCTTATGAGTTAAGGATATGGGAAGTGCGTGGGGATACATATCATATATAAAGGGGATGGAAAAAAATAAGAAAATTAATATTTTTCAACAAAGATGTACCAAAAACGTGCAAGGTTACACAACAATTTTATGTTTATGTTTTAAAAAAATATTGATTAGGATTATTTACAAATTATTTTACCATGGTTTTTGTCTGTATAAAAAATAAAAATATATTTTGAAGAATTGTAATAATAATAGGGAAAAGAATTTGTTTGTGTTAATCTATATACAATACTAGTGTCTATTACCATTAACTATTCATCTCAATTAACTAGAAATCACAATCCAAAAATATTAATAAGAATAACTAACGTAACCATCTCGTATATGTGTGATTGAGACAACCCTATTGGGAAAGTAACCTTTGAGGGAGTTTTGCCTGCAATCATGTTTGGTCAGAAACTTTTGTAATTTCCCTATATATTTTTATATAATTTAAAATTGTTTCAAGTAGTGGCGTGTTTCTTTACATCCTCTCTTAAATGTTAAGAAAACAAATACATTATAATGCCCTTTTGATTTTGGACTTCCATTTTTTTTATTAAAAAAAAGATTTAAAATGTGCAATTTTGTTAAATAACTTCTCTTATTGAATATAGTTGGAGCTATCCAATGGTTTAAATTCTTTCTTAAACGTTAAGAAATTAATAATATACACTTCCCAATTCCAATATGGGGTTTCCAACTTGTTATATAAAAACAAATGTCACTGCAAAATTTTGTTGATAGATAAAAATAAGTGAACCCAGTAATAAATCCAAAATATTTTTTGAAGTGAAAAATCTTTTTCATTTAATATGTTAAAAAATATTATACATTCAGAATGCAATTTGTTTTTCTCTCTGTTGAAAATAGTTCTTTGAGGGCCGCCTTCACATTGTCTTGAAGAAAAACAAACCAAATAATATATTTAAAAAAAAGGGAAAGAAACAAAAACAAATTTTCATGCGGAAATGAGGAAAACAACATACTTTTAAAGTTGTGTACTTCAGATTGCACTTCGTATGATAATAGCCCATCTAATTATTGGTATTAGGTTTTGCTTTACGAATAAAATAATTGATATTTCATACCAAAATATTATTAGTGGGGTTTATGACTTGGCATTCTACTACGATGGTATATACGCTTTTGAAGTGCATCTTCTAGAAAATAATTAAATATATTCTTATTCTTAAAATATGGTAAAAATTTATATTTACGTTTTAATCAATATTTCAAAAACCCTTTGTAGATCTAGACTACGCAGATTATCCAACGTTAGAATTCGAATTCGAATATACATGAATTTCGGATGAGTAATCCGTGAAATAAAGTCCAAAAACAATGTTGCTGTATTGTCTGTAGTTTTCTCATCAAGAAGTTTCACAAAACTCTGTTTCTATTGATTCCTTAAACACGGATACACCTGAATTAAAATTCTAATGATTCATTATATGGACAAAAAGGATCTATATATAATCCTCCAGCTCCTCTGGTGCTATCAATCTCTCCATACAAGCCTGTAACCATAGCAGAGAATTTCATAAAATAAAATAAAAAGAATCGATAATAACCGAGAATTTTGGAGATGGAAACTTGCAGATCAACAATGGAAGCTTATAATATACCTTTATATGGACCGCGTCAATGGCAGAAGGGTTCAAGTCCAAGGCGATTCCGAAATGGAATACGGCCTTGTCGTATAACTTCATATGCACGTAGATTTTACCGAGCAAACCGTGGACGCTGCTCTCATGAGGAACGCAATCCTTGAGTTCCTCTAGAACTTTCGCAGCTTCTTCGTATTTCCCGAGGCCAACTAGTACGTTAGCTTTGTAGTATATCGGGAGCGGATTCCTCGAATCGCTTATACTCGCCTGATCCAATGTCTCCAATGCTTCATCGCTTCTCTGCAAAAAAGGTTAGTTACTATTCCGTTCAAAAAGACAAAATAGATTATGCAACCGAATGACTAAATCGATCCGAACTGAATAACACATAAATGCGACAGAACCAAGTCAAATATAAAAACCGAATAATTATTATTCCTACAAAGCCGAACACAAATTGAACCGAATAAAAAAATAAAAAATAAATCAAAAAATTCTTTGAAAAATAAATATATTTATCAGTAAAAACCGAACCAAATCAAACTGAATGATTATATGTTTTCTTAAAACTGAAATAACAGAAACCGAAACCCCGCAATGGCCACACCCCTAGATGCAAGGACAATAAGGGTATGGAGAAGTAATCAAGTTTCGGAACCTTTGATTCATGCAAGGCAATCCCATTATAGCACATGATGACCGAAGACCGTGGATTTATTCGGAGAGCCCGTTGGAAATGGTGCTGAGCGAATTCGAACTTTTCTTGACGGAGGTAAATCATTCCGAGACCATGCCATGCATTATAATGTCTCTCGTCTACATCAAGTGCCTTTCGGTAGCATCTTTCTGCATCCCCGTATTCCTCCAAGGCAGCGAACCTGAATAGTCCGATTTCCGTAAGAACAATCTCGTATCCGGTTATATGCAGAATAATACGAAAAAATGAAAAAGAAACGGAAAGAAATGTACTCGTGGCCACAAAGGGTATGCGCATAAGCGAATCTTTGATTCAGTCGGATAGCTCTATGAAAGATCTTGAGAGCAGCTTCGTGATCTTTCTGCAAACTGTAGCAGTTTCCAAGAGCACACCTGTGATAAACATTGTTAAACTGCAAGTGTTTGGTCTCTGTTTAGAACCGGTGGCTTCTCAGCGTCGAAAAGTGCAAGCGGACTTGTACGGGTATAAAATGCCGGTTTTACGAACATCCGAACATATACTGCTAGTGAAAATGTTAAAAAGAGATACCACGATTCCGGAGCTAGACGGTCAATCGACAGCAACTCCTGAGCCAAGTAGCCTAATCTCATCTCTTCCTTCAGATGCTGCGAAAACCCAAGAACCAGTTTTTTGTGAAAAAATAAGAAAATAGCAGTGGAGTACTTCATGATTTCAACATCATAATAGGATCATGTCGATGATTCAGTACCATAGAAGATATAAAATAACACCCTTTAGTTTAGGATAGACAGGTAACGTATGTGTGAAGGTAAGATCATATGGAGCAGCAGCTAGCAAATGACGAGAACAACTCACGTAAAGAACAGTGGAGTAAATATCCATTCCTTCCAAAGCATAAGGATACATTTGATGTGCAAGAAGAAAGACAGAGTCAGCTTTGAAGTAATCTTGAAGCTGAAAATACGCTTTTCCAACCTATTTCAAGATGTAAATCATTTCGTCAGTATCAATTTTGGGAAAACAAATACCTTGAATTGCCTGCAAATGAAACATAGCAAAGAGATAGCAGCTGGTCTTATCACCTGTGAGAGAACCCATTGAGTATTGTACTGCTTCTCTGATAGTTTCTCATAGGCAAACAAAGCATCCTGCAGTTGCAAACAGTTTTCCCATCATTTTGCGATTTTCTGGATTCTATGTTAATAATCTAATACATTTAAGCATAGAACTCGAGATGGCAAAAATGAACCACCTGGATACATTCTCTTAATGAGCAGTACCTCACAATTGTACATGAGCAAGTGTCTGTGGCATTCACCAAGAAGTCTCAGAAGGTTTAGCACTTCCGAGATGCCAAAGATGATGCTCGAAGGACCTGACTCAAACCCAGTTAGCCTTGAGTTCTCCTCGTCATCAACGGAGTTGCCAGTCCCGGATATGGTCTGGCCAGATGTTGTTGCTGTATGATTTGAAGTAGCAACAGGCCGAGAGCAGAAACCTATTAGAACTCATACGCAAACATTATTATCTCCAAAAGAGGTGCAGAGCCACATATGTTCTCTAATCTTAACCCGCCCAAATCTTTAAACTTTGTTTTGTTAATATTTTGTTCTCAATCCCAGTTTTTCCTAAATGATGCCTCGGATAAGATAAAAAAAAGTAAGAAAGGGAAACAATCACCTTCCTTGCTGCTTTCGATTCGGCATTTTTCAATCATTGAGGAAAGAGAAGTTGCAGAGTTTGACTCAGATGACGAAGCATGTAAGCAATCAGCATCACTTCCGGATGACTGTGACATGTTTATTTTTCTCCGTGCTGCTATTCTAGCACTCCGACGGGGCCTTGTTTCAGGATACAACCTTTCTGGAACCTTCAAGATCCGGAAAAGAAAAATAACAATAAGACCAATATATCAAGTAACACTAGATGGATGTACAAATACATGCAATGTAACAATCACAATGCTCGAAAACAGAAAACAGGAGAAGAAAACACCACCATTTTTTCACCTGCTGGAGCACGCAGATTCTTACGTAGCTGAGGTGGGGCAACATCCGGTACCTGAAGGTTATAAATATTCAGGAATTAGGAAGCAGAGAGAGTAATCCAATTACCCATCAAGCAAATATATTGTTTTGTATGCGTAATGAAAAGTAACATATGCACAATCTCGCTTAAAATACATAATATTACCTGTGGTGGCACTGGAGAAGGCGTGTTCCAGTCTGAATTATTTGTTTGAGAGCTATTTTCCAGTTGTTTTGAGGAATCTAATGTAACACTTTGTTGCCCGTTCCCCAAAAAATGTTCATTGTGCCTTAACTTTGAATCTTTTAAGGTCTTGTCAGAATCTGAAAACTCATTTACGATCGTTCTCTGTGAGAAGCTTGATGTTTGTCCAAGATAAGTTTCTTGAATACGCTGTAAAGCAACTTCACCGAAAACAGAGGAGGCTTCTTCAGCAACACCTGAAAAAAATTGGTGACAAGCAATTTAGTAGAAAAGAAAATAAATCAGGTTCCCTGCTGTATCTTGACAAAGAGAACACAAAAATTAACTAGTAGAACATGAATTCAGGGCCTAGAAAACAGCATATATGGCTTTTACTAACCTAACATACAAAGTTCTTCATATGCCTCCCAAAATAACGGATCAAGTAACAACACCATCCTGAAATGTTCCACTGAACTGTGCCTTCTCCCAGTGTATCTGAAAGTATGTACCAAAACATTTGCCGATACCATAAGCAATGTATTTAGATTTAATGACTGAAATATAAATGGGATGATTTCGAATATGACATTTCGTTGTTCTTTTTCCATTTCTTTCCTCTACATGCTGTCATTTGAAGCATCACTAGAATCAAAGACACAAAGAAAGAAATTACGTAGATATATGTAGGTGAATCATCACCAATACTATGCAATGAAGCAACCAATGTCCCGTACTTATTTTTACAAAACTTGAAAAAAATCAAGTGGTAGTCACCTATATATAAGACCAAGAAGATAATTCCCGGCTGCACCACCAGCTACCTGCATGCTAAAAGGGGGTAGTAAGATTGTCCAGATTTTCATTCCCGAAAAAAGTATATCATGTAAATGGATATAATCGACAGAGATTCTCAGGTTTGGAGCCAATAAGAACTACAGAATGATCTTGCATATGAAGAAATCATACTTCTCCAACATCATCTTCACCGGGCAACAAGGCGGCTTCAGCTTCAACAAGGTGATCCAACTTTACGCATGACAATGCAAACAGATACCTTGACTGAGGTGCTTTCAAACCTGTGATTTTCGCAACAAAGGAACAAAAAGGATTTGGATTACAACCAGATGCAACAAAACAACATACAAAGGTGTTAAATTATAGCAGAAAAGCAACTACTGAATACCTTTCAGAATGTAATAAGCGCAGTAAGCTTGATTGTTACCCAAGTAACACCTCGCCAACAATTGCATGTTCACCTGCATAATGAAGGAACTAATCAGCCAAAAGGGTTCTAATAGCTAACCAAAGCAGAAGCAGAGACATCCCCATAAACAAATGGCACGATAGAACTTCAAACAGCCTCAGATGTCTGGACTGAATTATAAGTGAGTTTAGCTCGGAATTAAGAACGGTTCTATTTATACCAAAAAAAAGAACGATTCTACAATCCGATTGATTTCCATCCTCAGAACCGAAATTAATTGAGAATCTCTCAATTTCAATCGTATGCATTATGGTTTGATCCTTCAAATTAGGGAACAGGAGGAGTTAACTTCCCGTGATTCCACAATCAGCGTCTAGTAATCGTTCTCAGACAGGGAATCGAGACGGACACGAGCGAAAATCATAACAAAACAGAGCTAGACCGTCGGATCAGACAACACGAACAACGACAATCATCTACAGATTCGAGAATCACGTAATCGAACAACAAGAACAGACGGGAAAAAAGGGAATCGGATACCTCGGACGGGAATTCTGCGCAGAGACGTTCGCAGAGAAAGATCGCGTTCTTGAACATGAACTGGTTGAGATTCTTCTCGACGCCATTCACCAGTATAGTCTCCATGCGACTCGATGTTTTTTTTTTTTGGG